GAAGACTTCTCTAGATTAAACGTCAACAAAGATTTTTCTAAATTCTCCAGAAACTCTCCTTTTTACTCAAGGTTTGAATCACTTGAGAACAAGCCACTCTTAAAAACCATTTTAAAAAGTAGTATCAACTGAATTTCTTTCATTATGATCTCATAAGGGAAACAGTGATCATTTGTTCTGAATAGAGCATTCCAGTCGAACAGATAAGTTTTGAGAGCCGTGTTATGAGAGTATTTTTAAATGTTTGCCTATCAGGATATAAAATGGATATGCAATGTAGGTTTTAAAGAAAGTGTTATCCATTTTTAAAAGAGTGTCAGTGTAGTATCACATCATTTATTTTACTTTTTTTGATCACAGTTGAAATATGCAGTCAAACTGCCGTTGTCACCAACTCTTTTGATGAAGGCGACAAGGTGCCTTGTCCATTTATGAATGAGAGCTGGAGACAAGGAGAGGCCTTGTTCGTGATCGATCAAGAGGTACACACAAACCATCAAGGATGTGTACTCCCTCCAAACTAAGGGGATAAATGCAAAGACTTGGTTCTACCACAGTTGGACTCTGTTAAGGCTCAATTTCCTCCACATACCAGGCTTATCTCTGATTAGGCTGTCCTGATGAAGCCTCCTTTATTTACAAATCCAGCCTGGCTTCATAAGCCTATCCTTTTTACAGCATCTGAAATCTGGTTTTTGTTTTTCTCCAGTGTTCCCATAACTTTTGCTAGAAAGAGAAGATACATCTTAAATATTTTCTTTTTCAAGCATGACTGTGAGGAGGAACTATGGAATGCTAACTACGTGCCCAGCTCTACGTTAGGCACATTACATCTGTGGTTTCACTGATACCTTTTCAGACACCTAATGAGGCAGGTAGTATTTCCACTTTCCAGTTGAAGAAACCAGGACACAGGCTTGCTAAGTAATTTTCTTAAGGCCCCACAGCAGAGTTTCATGTAAACCCAGGCTAGGATCACAGTTTGTGCCAACTTCACTGTGCTATGCCAATCTCATTGTCTTAGAACAGTTTCGTTTCTCTCATCTTTAAATATTTTTTAGAATTCTCCAAGTTTTAGAAAAGTGATAGCTAGTTGATCTGATGCGTCTTTTGGTTTATTAGTTTACTCTCCTTGCGTACTACTCCCTGGAGGATTCTAAATGTATCCAGCACATTTATTTATTCTTTAATTCTTCCATCAGTGTGCTGTATGACTTTTTATTTTGTTGTAAATGACTTTGCCCAAATGAATAATTTTTAAGATAAAAATACTTTTACCATTTCAGGATTATCCATCATTTGCTTGGTTCTTAGATCAAATAGAATAGAATGTTCTTTAACAACAGTTTCCTCAAAAGTAAAAGGAGATACCACATGCATGTTCTAGTCCTGTTTCTTTATCAGTAAAGAATATACCTCTATCTGGTTTTATGACATTTACAAATAATTCTTGCCTACTCACTTTTCTGCCTTTAATATACTAAGTCCTCTGCTGCAAAAGGATAACCAGGTTTTTAGGAAACCCACAGTTATGTCCACACCGAATCATCAATTAAATCAAATTGGTGGCTATCAGAGGAGCTCCTTTATTTAACCTAACGCTAGTTTCTACTTAAATAGTACTTCCTCTGGAAAGAAAAGAATTTTGGTTCTCAGATAAGATCATCTAAAGCACAGTGACTGCCCAAGAGGTAATGATAACTTGTAAAATATTATGAAATCTACACATTGAAAAGGCAGAAGCTGTGTTTCAGGCTCACTGGCACCTAGGACTGTGGAGAATATTGACATTCGATGTCAGTTAATTTTCAATGAAGGATGTCAGAATTAATAGTGCCTAAAGTGAATGACTGCAATGCCATACTCTTTTCCCTCTCACAAACATGGTGATGATTCCTTCCCTGATTTCATGCAGGTGGAATGCCGAGTATAATACATCCAAAGGCATTACAAATTCTTCTTATGTTAGGGAAGGCAAGACACCCCCACCTCCAACAGTTATGTGGCATCAGCAAAAACAGAGTCCAAAACAACGTGCATCACACTGGGAGCCAGTGAAGGAGAGGAATGGAGAGCAGGTGTTCGGCTGCCTGGTGAATGGTCCATTTAAAAATTCAACAATAGTCAGAGGGGAACAGGGAGTACAACAGCCACCGCCGTAATTGGTGAAATCAGGATTTCTCAATTCAGTGTAAACTCACACCCTAAAAGAAGGCACACTATAAAGCAGATTTCCATCAACGCAGCACATCATTTACTCTTAACAATATTATTTTAAAAGCCTGCTCTTCAGGCAAAATCACTGAAAGACCTACTCAAGCAACAAAAACCAGTGCTGCTTCAATGTCAGGTCTCCCTATGAGATATTAATCATTAGCCGGAAGAAATAGGCAAAAGCAGTTTTTTTTTTTCACTGCAGAACCAACTAATTATCTTTCATAACTCTTTTGAAAACCAAATGTAAAAGCTCAAGTGAAAAACATGTTAAATGCATTTGTGTCTAGACTTTGCCAAGAAAATAAGGGAGTTTAAGTGCACAAAATCAAAAGATCTTACTAAACTAGAATTTCAAATCAAGGTAAAAAAAATCAGCCACATATTGTTATATATCTTGTCTTCAGCATTTTAGATTTATACAATCAGCTGAGGGTGAATGTTGCTGTATATTCAAGATGTACATGCATCCTATTTGGTGAGTAGCACCAACATAGTAAAATTATAAAAATAAAAAATGCTTTTCAGGCATTCCTTCCCTTAAAATGCTGCACATTCCTGTAAACTGTATCATAAACAGACCATTGGAAGGCAGATCAAGCACACAAATATCTTCACTATACCAGCAGAAAACCTTAAAAATGGGTGGGTCTTGGGAACAGAAAATGAAGTATAGGTGATTATTGGGTACCATGAAACAAGGATGCAGCAGCAGGAAAATATGAGAAGGAAAAATTCAGGGCTGTCTGTACAATATATACAGATTTTTTTCAAATGTAAATTTTAAAATGAATGCTGCTATTATGTTACTGCATAAAGGAAAGCATAGCGAGGCTGTTCCACTTCCCTTTAAACACAGGGCAGAAAGAGATGTGAAAAGCCAATTCTTTGTGCTGCTACTTAATCAATCGCACTCAGTTCTACTCAATGACTTAGCCACGCTGCAAAGACCACTCAGCAGTTAATGGATATAATGCTGGAAAAACAGTCTGAGCTCTCCCAAAGAAAGGTAGGGTAAAAACCCAGAGGAGCATGGTTTTATTACATATTCCTAATAACTGAGCAGTCATATACATGAAACTCCCATGACCTGAAAAGTAATTAAGGTATTAATTTATTTGGCAAATTCTCATTCTTCCCTATGAAATCATTTCATTCAAAGATGGAACCCTGAAAGCATAGTAGAGTTATCCTGTGCCCTAGTCTGGTCTTGTCAGGATAACCATTACACACTGTAAGGAATAAATATGTTCTTCAAGTGTTACAGCCTACGCTTACAATCTGTCAAAACGTGGAGCTGAGGAGGAGTTATGTGTTTTTAACTGTATACAGCCATCACTAGCTATCACTCTTCCCACAGACAGGAAAAAGTCCACAATGAAACATAGAAACTAAAAATAGGTGACTGAGCAATTGCTCAGAAGAGCTGCACATTGAGCGCAGGGATTAAATGTACATACATTCTTTCCCTATTTTTTTTATTAAAGCCAATTTAAAGTAATTGAAATTAAGGGCCCAGACCTAAGAATAAGGAAAATAAACATGCACTGCATAAATATGTAAAAGTAAGTCACAAGTCAAATCCCATGCTCATAGCCATACAAGATCAGTGTTCTGAGTGGCACATGCCCAGACTGCAAGTAGTGACTAATATATGTTGCTGCAAATGCCATAAAAAATGACAGTTATAGGCACTTCAAATGCTCAAAGAAAAACTTAATGTTATTCCACACAAGCTGAAAATATTTCTCCATTCACAGGTATTATAACATGTTCACTTTGAAGAGTCAATCAAATCAATATTTATTAAAGACCCACAGTGTACAATTTACTATGCTCTAGTGATGGAAAATACTCAATTTAAAAAGAGCATGATTTACATGCAGTACATTCAAAATATTAATATATGAGTATATATAATTGAACATAGAAAAAGTATAATCCAAAAGAACACCAGAATCAGAAAAATCAATAAATCTATGACTGAAATAGTCTTGTTTTTTGTTTTCTTCTTATTCTGTAAGAACTTACTGGGTGAGAAAGACAGCATAAAAACCTTGAAAGTTACAAGTTTGAAATCTTACATATTCAAAAGGAGACAAGTTGTCTTAAAACAGTAGTTTCTGAACTCTTTTCTTGCTTCAAAATGATTCATCTAACCAAATCTCATAGAAACCACAAAATATAAGATAAAAGAGGTATTAATACAAATTTATTTTAAAAGTGCAAGTTTATAATATTTACTCATTAGGTAAATAGGTTCTTTGATAAAGAGAAAAATGTGAAATAAGAGTTTATGGATTAGAGTTAGATTCTTCTGTGAGGCTCAGCATCTGATTCATTTCTATATTTTGGAGTTTTTTGTACCATATTAAGAAAATTCTGATTCATCCACCTAAATGGTTGCAAATAGTAGCATTTAACAGCTCCCTTGCAATCTCAGGTTACTCTTTAAGCAAACAGAGACAGCAGAAGAAGCTTCACCCCATACCCTGAACCAAAATTCAATGATCTATTGGCACAAATTAACTCATCAGTGGTCTCAATTGTGGTCTAACATTTTCCATATGGACACTTCACTGTGTATGTGTGTTTTTAAAATTACAATATTTAAATCCAAATCAAACCATTGAGAAACCCAAAACTCCCACTCACAATGTCCTAGGGGTTAGTGGAATCTGTTTTTGAAACCCTGAAACCCTTGCCAGGACACACTGACTTGGTGTCAGTAGACAGCAACACAGGTAACCAAGGTGGACACAGCACACAAATGCAGGTTAGCAAACCTAGGATTCCAACAAAGTGTGCCATCTGCATATCTGCTGGCCTTTGGTTTCCTTCATCTCCTCCCAATGATCTTGTTCCTCCTCTCCACTGCTGTTCTGGCCCAGGGCAATCCAGCCAATCATCTCTTTACGCTTCATAGTACGCCTGTTATAAACGGAAATCATCAACGTGACATCAGACAGCTGAAAGAGGGCCACCTGGAAGACAAAGGTCTCCTTATAGACAGGATTGGGCTGACCACGCCGAATGGACGTCTTGCAACGGGACATCTCTTGACCCACAGAATTGAGGAGAAAGAGTTTTCCATATGTATCTAAGACACAAAAAAAAGGGTGGGGTGGGAATGGTAAGAAACATTAGTGCTCTCTGTTTGGCTGGACTAGTCATAACATTTATATGGGCTACACATTTCTCCTTTCAACATACTGATCAGTATCCTTAAGCCTGGTTCTTGCTGTTGGGCAACACAGCTTGCATGAATTATTAAGGAAGGGAATTATTACCTGGAGTGCCTAATGTTTCATGTGGCTCACTATCCAGCACACATTGCTGATGTTCATTAGTACCTCTTCGTGCACAGGGCGTATAAATACGTACACAGGCATATGTGCAATGGTGTTTGTGGGCAGGCACAGTTCTTCATCTACATTTATTTATGTAACAAGATAAATATACACATTTTGCTCTACATGATTTTTTTCATAGTCAAATTGCTATTTTATGCCTGAATTGGAGAATTCTTTTCTCATTCTCTACATATTCGTAAGTGTGTGTATGTATGTGTGTGTGTGAGAGAGAGAGAGAGAGAGAAAGAGAGAGAGAGACAGACAGACAATGTCTTGCTCTGTTGCCCAGGCTGGGGTGCGATGGCATGATCACAGCTCACTCCAGCTTTGACTTCTGGGCCCAAAGTGATCCTACCTCATTAACCTCCTGAGTAGCTGGAACTAGAGGCATGCACCGTCGTGCCCAGCTAATTTTAAATTTTTATGTAGAAATAGGGTCTCCCTATGTTGCCCAGGCTGTCTACATATCCTTTGGATCATCTCATCCACTCCCATATTTTCAATGACATCTACCAAGTCCATAGGTCTGGCCTCAACTTCTCTCCCAAACTCAAGATTCAACTGAATACTACACTTCTTCTCTTAAAACCCTACACTCATCTCACACTCAATATGCCCCCAACTCTAAACATTTGCTGTTCCAGTGTTCCCTATCCCTGTGAACAGTAGCATCATTCACCAAATTATCCAAGTCAGAAATCAGGACTTCATTTTTCACAAGACTGACTTCCTCATTCCCAGTTCACCCAATCAGTCACCACGTTCTGTTGATTCTACCTCTCAAACGGTTCCCAAATCTACCCACTTCTTTCCATCCCCAGTGCCTCTGAACTCTGTGTACACTGTAAGCTCAGGTTGCCAGCATTTCTCACCTATATTACCTCACGTTTCCTCACTGACCTCCTAGTCAGAGGACTCCCAGAGCAATCTCTGTAAAATACAGATCCGGCCATGTCACTCTCACTAATAAACACAAACTAAGTCTTTAGTACTTCCCACTAGTCTCAAGATAAAAGCTCAATTTCTTGGTGTAGACTTTCTTCTTCGGCCCTATCTTCTAGTCTCATTGCTTACCACTGCTGCCATTATATGCTGCATTCTACTGCATTGAACCTCCTCCCCTCCTCCAACCCAATTTGTTCTTTTTCTCTTTCTCATCTGTACATGCTCCCCGTGCTCTGTCATCCGGACCAATATTCAGCCTCATATGACTTTTGTTCATTGCGTTCAGTTTGGATATCACTTTATCTGGGAATATTTGCTGACCTTTTTGACCTTTTTCTCTCACTCCCACCAGTTCAGATAACCCTCTTATAGTCTCCACTAAAACCTAGTTTTAGCCTGTTTCAGCACTTACCACCAGTATTATCACTGCCTATTTACTTGTCTGCAAAGATGCAGTTTTCCAATGGTAGACAGAGGGATTGCCGTATTAACCACTGTACCCCTGATGCTTAAAGCTTGTGCCTACCGTGTGCTAGACCTTCAGTAAATATTTTGTAATGAATGTTCATGCCTAGTCAGGAAGCTCAACTTTCTTTTTCTTTCGGTCTCAAGTTTTCAAACTTGTGCAATGAAGCTAAACCTCTTCATTGTAGAACCCCTCCACTAGAATGCCAGAAAACAGTGACTAGCATCATTACAGAAAGGAAAGAAAGCATTCAAATTTTACCAACAAGGTCTCCTTTTGCTAAAGTTCTTGAATGGAACCATCATAAAATAATTATCTCCTCAATTACATTTTTATTAAAATCAATTTATAAATGTCTTGACCTTTACCTACAAATTTTACTACTAACACGCGCACATTATTCTCCTAAAAAAACAAAATGTTAGGGTGTTTCCCAAATTCTATCATTCTGTACATTCTGTTCAATGCACGCCGCAAGCTGGTTAGTGTTATTGCTCATTTTCCCACCTAACGACCAGTCAAACTTTTTAAAGCTTAAACGCAGATCTCTGTAATTTACTGTTCTCTCCAAGAGCATTGTAAGATAGGAAACAAATTACAACCTGCAGTTTTCTTTCTATGTTGATCTTTTTCTATTCCAGTTTGATGTGTTATTTTATGCACTTATCTGCTGAGAAACACAAGGTATGAAATTACACTTCAGGTGTGAAAACACTTCTCTGTCTCAGAAACAGGGCTCTCTTCTTTTCAAACTGTTCTACAGAAAAAGCTGTCAGAAAACCAACAATGAGGGAGTGGATTTGTGTTTCTGAAGCTGCATAGCTACATGATTCCTGTAGAAAAAGTTCAATCCAGTCACCAAACTGATTGGGCAATTCTGCTGCCAGGTATAGCAGTGGGAATTGAGTTAATCTTGCAAACAAAAGCATGCTCATTTCACAGAGAGAGCAATTTCAAGCTTTATCCTGCCATAAGATTATTTTCTAATTACGAGAAAGGCCACTTACTACCAAATTACTATCACAGAAGTTGGATTGTATGTGCATAACAAGAGAAATAATAATAATCTTATAAGCAATCCAGTCTGAAGACACCAGACAAAAGGAAGGAAAATGTTCATTGTCCTAGTTCAAAAGGGAAACTTCTATTAACACTAACAATGCACCTACTTCTTAACTTCCAGTGCAGAGGCTGTGCCCAGGAAATTCGGCTTCTATGGAATAGTTGGGGGGCATGACCAGGGTCTTTTGGGGTTCAGTGACGTACTCTGATTAACATCAGTCAGAATGAATGGAGAAAGACTCTAGCTAAGTAAATATGCCATTTAAATAAGCTCTGTTTTAATCTTTGGAAACAGGTAATCGTGGCTACGAAACAATGCTGAGCAATATTTCTTTTCTGGTGGTGATTCAGAAAGCTTTATAGTATCTTTAGCAACTCAGAACCATTAGCAAAACACTGAATGGGTCATAATCCCTTGACAGCCCTGTCAACTGTTTTACTAGTCACTTGCCTTTTTCTTGCTAAAGGAAGATGCCACTTGTACTACAATATTTATAATAGTACATAATCCCCAAATTATGGCACAAAAGTATGTCATTTGGAACTCAGAAGGCATTTTTCCAAAGAAACAACATGGTACCCATTAGTTAAACAGCCCCCACAAAATACCTACCCATTTGCAGAATAATTTTCTACCAATTGCTGAGCTGAGTCTTGGCCTGGGGGTCAGAGGAACTATGAATCTCTGGGATACAGGGCAAAGGAAAGGAATTTGGCCATTTAACTTTCACTTTTAATGTATTAATATGTATAAATGATTTTAAACATATGAAAATAAAAAATAACATCACACAAACTGACAGGGTATTTAGAATTTGTTCATATATGCTACTAATGTTTCTGCCTTTTTATTGATTTTTAAGAAATAAAACATTGCAATTGAAGATTCTTTAGCATCCCTCTTTGGGATCCTGTCCAACTTCTTTTCTCAACAAAGGTAACTACTATGTTGGATTTGGAGTTTATCATTTCCATATATGTATTTAAACTTTCAATATATAAATAGATGTAAATATAGGTGTCCAAACTATATTTAATAGAATTTTGCACATTAAAAAATTTAACATTGTAGTGTATGTCTTTCTAAAACTTATTTAATTTATAAATTTTTATGTTATCTCTATGTATACATATATGTGATTCATTTACTTCATCTTCTGTGTGTAATGTTCCAATGCATTAATAAATTATAATTCATTTTTTCATTCTGTTAATGAACATTTAATTCCTTATAATTACCAAAAGTTAAAAAGATTTCAGTGAACGTTTTTCTCTATTTTGCATTATACCAATATTCAAAAATTTCTCTAGGATATACCTAGAAGTGAATGACTGTGCTCTTTACAAATTCTAGACACAAAATCTTTGCTAGTTGTCTTAATTGCTACTACCTTCTACCTGCCTTTCAGCTTCATTTATAGTCATTTGTAGTACAAATGTTTTAAATTTTTGTGGAGTCAGGTTTATTGGTGTCTTAAGTTGATGCTTTTTTAAAGAAACCCTACCCAAACTCAATAGTCTCCCACATTATCTTCTGAATCTTAAGATCTTGTTTTTCACATTTGATCTTTAATACAGTTGTAATTGAGCTTTGCATGTAGTGTGAGGTAGGGATAGAATTTTTTTTCTATATTGGAAGGATTATTCATTAAATAATCTATTATCTCCCCACTAATTTGTAATACCATGTCTGTCAAATGTCAAGTTTCCAAGCTTCAGTGTCTTCCCCTAAGTCTGACAATATTTATTATCATCATTTTATAACATGTCTTGATATCTGCTAGGGATAATCCCTCTACCATCTTTTTAAAAGCTATTTTAGTTATTCTACTCTCTTGCTTGGTTTAATTGGCTCTTGCATATGAATTTTAGAATGAGTTTGCCAAGCTCTGTAAAAAACAAAACAAGATTAAAAAATACTAACTAAAACAAAAATACTAAGAAACACTTGGGATTCTGATTGGTATTGTACTGGACATATAATTTGGAAAAAAAACTGTTGTTTTTACAATATGGAATGTTCTTGCTAATGAACACAGTATATATAGATGTGTGTGTGCTTGTGTGTGTGTGTGTATAGTTTCTCTTTGTATCTTTCATAAAGTTCTGTTGTTTTCCTATAATTTTCATATCCATCTTTTATTATCTTTTGGTATCTTAGATATTTTGTTCCTATTATAAATAGTAACATTTTAAAGCTCTACTTTCTGATTGTTGCTGATGTATTATAACACAACTGATTTTATATAAGAAATATTACTTTATGGATTTTCA